TTATTTAACTTTAGATAGATATAAAATTGAAGCCCACAAAGAAAGTGTCAAAAATAAATTTAAAGTGCTAGCTACAAAAATATGATAATAACCTAATGCTCTGATTTTTTAAAGTATATACATTTGTTAACAATATTTGTGACTTTCAAAATGAAGAATGGCTGAGTGGCTGTTTCAGATAAAGGTGTCAGCATTCTGTGGGGTCACACAGACAGTGGTCTATATTTAGTGACACCTATGTAATGTTCAAATTGGTGTCATGCTTATATAATAACCTAATGCTCTGATTTTTTAAAGTATATACATTTGTTAACAATATTTGTGACTTTCAAAATGAAGAATGGCTGAGTGGCTGTTTCAGATAAAGGTGTCAGCATTCTGTGGGGTCACACAGACAGTGGTCTATATTTAGTGACACCTATATAATGTTCAAATTGGTGTCAAGCTTATAAATTTCTACCCAGAGTTAGAACTGCCTGATTCTATTATAATTTTCTCAGAAGTGACATATTGAGGTTAAATGTCCAACGCTCATCCTTGTGACCATGATGACTTAAGCAAGCCCTGTTTAGGGTCATTGTGGAACGGTACTGAGAGTTTCCACTTGTTCTCCTCATCTCTCTCTTTACTTTCTCCAGTCTAGGGTTCATCCAGAAGTTCATAAAAACATTAATTTATCAGCAAGCGCTGACTACCCTTTTCTGGGCTCTGTATAGCCACTTCTGAAAGAGATGTATCTTTGCTCTGGAAACTGTTATTGAGTATGTTAAAGCTGTAATGAAATGCTTCTTCTAAAAATAAATATATAAAACAAACACATTAGAATCTAAAAATCAACAAAATCTAAGCATATTACATGAAGTAGCTATAACCCTGAATCACTACAATTAAAAAAATTATATTTCTATCTCCTACCACTGCTTTCCCCCTTTTTACCAACCAATATCATATCACCATATATCATAATGTAATCCACTACGGTATAACTTCTGAACAACAAGGATTGTTTCTGCTCCTGGCTTATATGCTCAATACCTTAAACACTTTCTGGATAATAAGAAACATTAAGACAACATTTTTTTTGGTCTTTTTGTAGCCCCAGCTGTCCTGGAACTCACTATGTAGACCAGGCTGGCCTTGAACTCACAGAGATCTGCCTGCCTCTGCCTCCCAAGTGCTGGGATTAAAGGCGTGCACCACCATGCCCAGCTAAGACAACATTTTTGCAATAACGAAATAAATAAGATCTCTATCTTTAAGGAAAATGATCTCTAAAAGAAAAGTGAAGGCAGTACCTTTAACAATGGGGAAACAATTGGTAAGTAACAAGATGTGGTTGGAAAACACAGTTTTTGAGACTGAGTCAGTAGCTCAGAACTCTCTCTGCAGCCATTCATAACTTTGA